ACTTTCTTATTCTGCCTTGTGCTTAATGGCAGGTAAGTTTTCTCTCGAGTAAGAAGCAGCATTTTGATGACGGTGGTAAAACAATATTGCAACATCGTCGTCCGATATTAGAAGCGGCCGGTGTTAGTTCCGCTACGGCCTCGCGTGTTTCTTACCTCGTAAAACACGTCGGTATTTATCTTGCGATAAAAATCTAAAGATCGCCATCCCGGGATACGCATGTTTAAAAATTGATTTTTACACGGACAGAAAAAAACGCGCTCGTCACAAAGATACTAACGCGTTTCTCCCTTCGGCACAAAATCACGCAGAGCGAGAAAACGGATTTCATTAAATGAAAAAGAGAGAGAGAGAGAGAAAGAGAGAGGAGAGACAAAGAGACAAAATAAAGGAAAGAAAAAAGAAAAAAGGAAAGAGAAAAGAAAATAAAAGAAACAGAAAAAAGGCGTAGAAACGGCGGAACTTTAATTACTTCGGTAAAGTTTTCACCCTGGCAATTGCTTCCAATTCGCACGTTTACTTTATCGAGAAAGATATCTGGAGAGTATAACACAACGCGACATGAGAATTGTTAATTTTTTAAAATCATCGTCACATACCCGCGCGATCTTATACACATATACTTCTTCGTCTCGTTACAAGTTCAAATACTTTTGTGTTTTTTTAAGAATCGCCCGACACAGGCTTCACGGCGGACAAGCACGACCGCGCAAGCCCGCGCTAAAGTGATATAACGTGTAAGAAAATAGACGACCCTGCCCGCCTTATATTTCACCGTGATGCGAGTCTGTATGATGAAGTGCGGGAAAGTCATCACTACTGCCCCTGTGTATACAGGGTGAGCCACTTAGCATCACCGTGTGGAATAATTCCTTTACCGCCTACGTGGCGTCAAAGAGAGACTTGGGAAAAAGTTTTATGATCATATTAGGGACGCTCGTTGCGCGAAACAAAACTTTGAGCTATTCTACGTCCACTGCGAGATTCTAAATTAAATTATCTCATAATTCAATATTTCATTTATACCAATTATTATACCATTTAATATTGTGAACATTTTAACAATAAAAATTCGCGTATGAAGGCGTGCTAATATACGTGTTCTTATAAGAATAAGTGGTTTTTCCATCGATTTCAGAATAACGACGAGTTATGGACGAAAGTAATATTGAACATTAATCTCTTATCATTACGTAATACACGAACTGCCCCTTTCGTCTCGCTGACTTCCGCGGGAGAGAATGAAGATGTATGATTTCATATTTCGCCGCAGTTCATCATTTCACGCCTGAGGCTCTGCAGCTATGAAGCACGGCAATAGAAGTTAAATACTAGATAATAGTTAACGTGCACAAGACAAGCAATTACTGCGTAGTCTTTGTGATTCAATATCATAAGTTTCCACTTGGAAATTATTTCCGCCGGTTACGTCGCGTTCAAAAAATTCGATAAAAATTCATACGTAAATGAAAGTTTCGAAATAATTGTAGGAACGTTGTTAACGACTAGAAAAGAATAAGAGGCCAATTTGGAGCGAGAAATTTAATTAACTTCTTTGGAAGTGGCGAAAGCGAGAAGACAAAGAGAGGAAAAGGGGAGGCAGAGAGAGATTCTCCTTAAATTCAAAACAAAATTTAAATCATTGGAAAGATCAAGTAACAGATAAAAGAATAAATAACGTTATAAAGTAACTCGGATAATTCCAACGACGAATTAATTAGGAATCGTTTAAAGAACCAAGAGAGCTTTTCAAGTTCGAATAAAGAATTTTTTTACGATCTATAAGCGTATAAGAGCGCACAGGAAATATCGTGATCGAGAATACGTTAACGCGACGGGGCATTGAGCGAGCGATAGAAGGCGCACGATAAAGCGCCTCCGAGTGCGTTGAAATGAAACGTGCGCCTTAATAAATCAGGTGAAAGGTGATTCTGGCCCTTTGTGCATTCGCAATCGTCGGCACGAAAAGGAATGAAAAAGCCGATAAAGGAAAAGCCGGTGCATACGCGGCATATAAGTCTCGGGAGTACCAACGTTCTTGGATCCATTCGACATTCGATTCCGCGAAGTAATCTCGAGTGGACGCGTGATTTAGGGAGGGAAGTCGCGACGTCGAATTTCAAATCGGCTTGCCGGAGTTTACGATGAGATACGCGTAAACCCGCCACTATATATGGCAAATTCATATGTTGGAAAATCGCCTTATACCCGTAGTCACATTCGCAAGCTAAATTAATCGATAGCAATGATCAATTCGAGGCTCTTCTTAAGCTGAGTATATATTGAGCGAACGAACAACGGATTCAAACATTTGCTGTTACGGTTCGGAAAATGTGTACACTTTAATCCGCACAGAACATTTATGTGAATATACTCAGTGAACGTACATCAAACGAACAGCGAATGGCCTGTTGTAAATATGTATACCTTAAGGTAGTTGTATCGTAGAGTGCTTTTCGATGGCACATCAAGAGAGCCACTCAAATCTAGTATTTGTCAAGCAAAATTACGCTCCTATATATTTAGTTCACCACCCAAAAAATAAATGTTAATTTGAAACGAAGTTTAAGTAGACATATATAAACAATATTAAAAATATGAAAATATTATTATTTTTTTATTTTCCTTATTAAAACATTTATATTTATGTTAGTAGGTGGAGGTTCCCGCGCCTCATGCGCAGTGAGCCCTTGGATCTGATTGTTACATACTTTTGGTTCTAAAAGTACAAACAAATCATAGCTGTAGAAGAAACGAAAGAACAACGAGCGCCAAGGCGTGCATTCAAACGTTCGCTTTCGATATTCGTTCGCTGTTTGTTCGCTCAGCGTACACCCAGCTTTGCGCGACAGTCGTTCGAATGCGCGTGTTCCGATCTCCTCGGCAAAGGGCGATTTCGTGAATCTCTCAAAGCATCGTTGTGAAATTCATTTTGCACACACACCCAAGGTTATACCAGCGGTTTAACACGCGCTAAACGTCGCGAAAGAGAATGTACGATCATATCAACTATCCTCGGATCCTACGATCTATTGTAGTTTCACACCACGTCCCGATGCTTTGTCCGCCATCAAACGGTACGCCTCGTTTATGCCTCCAATCATGCTATGATTCGGGGATTTAGAAACGACGGTTTAGCAAACGACGGGATATTCGTCCGATACCACGAACGATGCCGAGATACTGCGCTTTATCTATGTTTCATGCTCGTTCACCAATTTCGTATTTCGCGTAAATTACAAGATCGTCGCGGACACGTAATGCTCGAATTTCCGAATACTGAAAACTAGATCCCGAAACTACGTGAAATGTGCGCTAATGCGCATGATAGCCGGGATATTTTCCGTGCGACGCAGGCAGATCGTATCCCGGAAAATCACGTCAAGTAGTTTCGCGGCCGAAAGTGGCGCAAGCGAGCGCATACCGCGGCGCGAGTTTTAGCCCTGGCGGTTTACTATGCATGCAAATTGGACTCGCCAATTCCTGTAACTTCATCTTACGTACAGATGAAATACTCCTGTTAACTGAGACTCCTGTGACATTCCTGTGAACTTCGCCACCTTGTATTATATTCAATTAAAACTTCAGGCCGGAAGTTTCTTTCGCGCTAAGAGATAGTCAGCAAGTGACGCGTTTTCTTCACGGAAACTCCAACTTGTAATTACAGGCGTGAAGTCTGATAAACACTCGAGCTAAAGGTACGTATTCATCGTATGCGCGCCGTTTAAACGATTCCCAAAGCTGTCTCGTTCCCCGGCAACGTTCCGTCCACGAGGGCAGGAATTTCCCTTCAATATTTGCTAATGCTTTCTACCTCGAACTCCGTCGCCTCTCTCGCTTACTTCGCTGCTCCATTCTTCCCATCAAATAAGAATCTAAAGAATTCTCTTGTGCAAAAATACAAGTTAAATTGCTGAATTTTTTCTAGCGCAGTACTTCCATTTCTCTAAGCTGACGCCAATTCTACCATACGCGCATCAACCCCTGTATTCTAAGTCGTAACGTTAATCGCCTAGACGTGTAGTTGCTGTAACGAGCACGTCTCTTTCTCCTTCCTCCGGGAGTGCGCGAAAGCATCAACCGCAACCGCGGCGCTCTCAAATAAAAACGTGCCTTCGTGCGGAACGAATTAATCCCGCTTTTCAGGCAAGACTACATTTTTGGCTCGTCTAAGAATACACGTTTGGCTAAATCAAATAAAGAGTGTCAAGATAAGAGAGAAGAGATATTTTACTCGCTTTATGCTCTATACACGTAATTATACAAGTGTTACAAAATTGGCAAGTTATTTTCATTCATTGAGACGTTCAGCTCATCCGCAGCCCCGAAATAACGAATTAAACGATATGTAAGTTTAATTCAATCCCGAAAATAATGAATTCATCAACACGCCAGCTTCATTTCAATTAGATACTATAAACACGATACGATCTGCCGAATGCCATTGACTTTTAAATATACCTAATTTTTTGTATATGTTAGTTTTAACGAGATGCCATACATTAATATTCCTAATAATTATGTACGAAAACATGCGAAATGTCTTAAAACTCGGGGGCACGTCGGGACATTACTTAGAATTTCATGGCGGTGTAAAACTGTCCTTACTGTTTGTTCATAATCGATGCGATTTACATTACTACGTAAAACTGCACTACGTAAATGCTGAGATTCAACACTCACTATTTCGCGATGAAATTCACCGGCGATGTCCAATAAGGTCCATCGACGAAACTCGCCGTTGCATTCCGAACTGCGTAGCGTTCTCCACGGTCCCATGTCGACTGTAATTTCACTGCACTCGCGACGCGATTGATATATTTAACGACGTTTTACGAATATTTCAACGACATTAACGAACGATTTTGATCAATCTCGGAACGGAATTTACGAGTTCGCTTAACGAATTCGTTCAATGAATGTTAAACGCCGTACAGCTAGTTCCGTCATTTCGCGAACACACACTCGCGGTTAATAATAAATTTAGTTCAGAAACGTACTCGCCAATTCTGTAAAAAATTCATGAATTGAAAACTAGCCACGCCGACCATAAAATTGCTCAATACCAAATACGTGAGTAATCGAATGTGGCATGAAGATCTCACGCACGATGGCTCCGCAACAGCCATCGAAGAAGCCAGCTTAGGGAAGATTACTCCCTGGTGCAGCTTCGCAGTATTTTTGCGAAGTTTACTCCGCAATACTTTTGCGAAGTTTATGTTCGCAGTAGTTTCTGTAACGTAATTTACCGAATACCGTGTATGAAAGACAATTTCACGACGCTATCGTAAGCACAGACAATCGAAAACTAAAATTCGTGATAATTTTAATTCATTTTGAAGCGAAAACTACGAATTCGAATAAAACAAAAAATTCGCCTGTTTTTCTAATAAATGTTTATCGTCATACAACTCTCTATTTCTATCTTTTCGGAAACATATTCGCGATATGATAAATGTGGTCGTTTCGGAAATACGCTCATGACTCGCGAAATGTATGAAACAAATTGCATTAAAAATTGACCGTATGGATCAAGAAATCAATCATGCAACTACTAAGTTAAACTGCTTCGCGATATATTGTCGTAGTTTGTCTGCGCCACATTTAAATGAATCTACTTTACGAGATTCTTCTTTACAAAACATAATAGCAATATTCATACATAGAATTCTAAAATAACTAATATCCACGGCGATTACTAAATTTATCAAACGCGAACCAATAATAGCTCACGTTTCACAGATAATAGCACAATTTTGATTCACATAATAATATAATGTTCGAAGCAATTATAGGAGATCATATCGAGTGAATAATTCTATTGAATAATTCTGTAGATTAAACTAAATTTGGCAGTAAACAGCCAAACTTTCTACATTTATATAAATATATTCATTAAAGCTCACATAAAAATTACATATGAAAAGAGTTATTCGATAAGTGAAATAATTGCTAAATAATACGGCATTTGAGAAAACGATCCCCTAATTATTTTGAGCAGTATGTTTTGTAGCGACATATATACACTGAGAAAAATATTTTATATTTATAATTATAATTACATAGTGAAATAATTATAGTCAGGAGAACAATTTTTTATAGCATGTATTGTTATAGCGTTAATAATAATATTAATATACACACATTGTTTTTACTCATTTTTGTTAAAACAAGAAGAGAATATATTGTTGACGTCGAAAATAATCATAACTTTAAAGAAACTGTATTCTCTCAGTATATAAGTGCAAAAATAGAATATGTAAAAATCTACAAGTAAATCGCATCAATTTCAACGAATCTTATAAACATCAGCCATCTTAAGTCCCACCACCTTTCAAAAATTTTGTTTCCTTCACTCACCGAAACACCGAAGATCAGGGCCGGTCACATTTTGCTTTCGATTCTGTAACAAAAACATATAACACTGCTAATTAAATCCAAGAGTTCCGAGTAAAGAAGAAATGCGCGTAGAAAGAATTTGTTTACGATCATACTTTGAGGTTGCAATTCAATGATTTTTATTTCAACAACTAACGCTCAGCTTTTAATTATCAAAAACTAATCAGAATATATGAATCTATACTAGATTTACCTGGAGCTGACCCCGCTTGGCCCAAACCGGATCCTCCAGTACGGTATCCATCAAAATTGAATCCCTCAGGAACCACATCCATTAATCGTGTGGCCACAATTTCCATTAAACCTGAAACAAAAAACAAAAGTTTTTTGGTTAATAATATATAAAGATGCAATCATATTAATAATAAAGATATTCAATATTATACATTTCTCTTGTGAGCTAATAAAAATGAAAAGTGGTAATCAGAATACTGGAATGATTTTAGCGCTTAAAATTATACTATACAAAAAAGAAAATTCAGTTGAATCAATAAAATTTCCAATAGCAACACGAATGGAGTAAATCTTTTTGATTCAATGGCAAATATCATTAAAATTACTATGTTATATATTACAATTATTATGTTATGTTTCAATAATTAAAGTATTAGTTCAATGTGTTCAATTCAATAGTTTCAATGATATCGGCATTGAATCAAAAAGATCCATTCCGATCACGCGTGCTGTTGGAAATTCTATTGATTCAACATTTCATTTCATTCATTTTTTTCCGTGTAACGATCATACAAGTGAACTAACGTAACACGTCTCACGTACGTTTCGATCGATTTGGAAAATACGGGAATGTCTCCCGACCCGTCTACCGACGCGTTAAAAACTGTTGTGAGTCGTTCGGCAATTTCGTACATACGTATATTTTTAATTCCCGCGTCAGGTGACCTTCAACTGGCGGAACACGCCCGAAAGCACTGTTACATCGCTAATTCGTTAATTTAACGTTAATTATATCATTATATTTTATTATCTTAAAAAAACGCTATAATTATTATTATATAATTCCATATAACAATAGACATGCTGAATATTATTTTACGCGAGAGAGGAACTCATGTATAATGCAATATAAATTATTGTACGGCGTACTCTTTCCTGTTCAATTAATATTTGCTATATTTATCTTTTACATATATTATTGTTTCACGCGCACAAATGTGATTTGTGTTTCGAGAAATGTTGAAAATAAATCACATTCTATCGTCATTAACTTTGTAATTCTTCTTTCGATGTTAAATAGATATTTTCACGGAGCGCAGCTGCTCCATTCGCGCGGCGGACGAGATGTATTTGTTGAAAACTAGGCAATACGTTTCTACGTTCTTGTTCCAATCCGATTTATCTGTCTCGCAGTCTCTTATAAATTCTTGGACTCCCGCGGGGATCCGAAATCGCGAAAACCTACATCTCCACTGCATCGTACCTCCCGTGTTCGCCAAAATCGCATTACTTCACGTCGCCTGTGTGATTTTCCCGGCTGACGGAAACTCGGAAGATCTACCATTACATTTACGTACATATACATACTTGCCACATATAACGTGTTGCTTAAGGACTGTTGTGTAATACAGCTATCTTTCTCGACTACGATTAAACGCTTATAGAATATATCGAAAATAAATAATACCCAAAGAAACAAAAAGAGATCGTGATAAAAATGAAAAACAATATAACATGTAACTTTTGATTAGCTTATAATTTGTTTACTATGTTTATTACGTAGCAACTTTTCTATTCTTCCAATACTCTCTTTTCTATATGAGAATAGTTTTCTCGTATTTTCTCTTTTGCGGAGAGAAAATTTATATGAGACTAGAACAAGCTGTCCAAGATTTTTCCCGCTTTTTTCCAGTGTGACATTTAAGCAAAAACGAAAAAAAATGAAAGGTGCTAAAATTAAAAAGGAGCTACGTGTTAAAAATGCCAAGCTCTACTGATGGTAGAGACCAAAAATAGGAAATTTTCAAGTTTAATCTAATAATTTTTATACTTCCCTCCGCGTACGTATGGGCGGAAAATATGAAAGTGTCACGCGTCGTAAATTACTTTTTCCCCTGGTTACCACTTGATATATTTCAAGAGGAACATAAATGCGCGTACAATTTCTCAAAAAAGTCGCATGAGCGAAAAAATCCGATGTAAATCATTTCCCTGGGTAGTCTACATCATTCTCGCCCGAAATATTAAAGTATATCGATATCAGTGATAACAGCGCATCGATAGCTCGTCTAACCCATGTCATATTACGTGGTCTTCTTGATATGCTGTCGGCCAACACCGATACGCTTACCCGACCCGATGGAGGCATGTTAGTGGCTTCAGAATGAAATTCTCTATGATGGATCTGAAACCGCTAGAGAATATATATATATATATATATCCACATCATCCCGCCACTACGTACATCTCCAAGGAGTAAACGTCATCCACGTTACGCCGAAAATCATCCGAGTTCTTACCGCGGCAGATTTGTAGTTGCATCAAGGATTTTCTTGAATATTGCGATAATATCGCCGAAAATTATGCGGACTTCGCGAGAAAACGGAACTCCCTTCTCTATCGTCGCGTCGAACCAACTTTATCGCATACTTCCTTGATATCCGTGAAAAGACTTTTCTTCGCGTAATCCGCGCCAGCGGAGCCGGCTTATCTTGCATTCCCGCGCGGGTTGCCTTTTAAAGCCCGAAATTAAATAAAGTTGCTAAGACCAATCGCTTCCGCGGTTTTCCGCAACTTTTTCGCGGCGATTGAAATCCGCGAGATAACTTGCGCTGCCGAGCCGCAAGCGCAATTTTGCACGGTAACGGGCTTTGGGATTATCGAATTATTCTAGATTTTTATGCGGAGCAGAGACGGCGCGTCTCTTGTACCGGACTTCTTGCCAGTTATCAACGTCGCGTTTATTCCGGTATTCTTTCTGGTATAATTGACACAGCGCGTAATTAAACAGCATATTATTATATATTATAATGCGCTAGATATTCAAAGTAAAAGTATAAATCATGAAAATAGAATTACAAAGATGAAAATAATTAATAATATCAATCATGAGATTTCTAATTTTCCGTTACAAAAATGTGAGTAACGTGTCGTTAATAAAAGAATGATTAAAATCTCTTAAACTGCGAAAACTTACTTATCATCAAAAGCTAAAATGTTATATCGCTGTAAACCTAGATGGTTCACAAAAAAAACAGCGAAATATTTTCCCGCAGCGAATTTCGGCGAATCAAATGGCAGGTAGGTGTTTCACTTCCAAACGATCTCATTTATTGTTACATTATCATGTCAGTCGCGCTTCAGCGACTGTTCGACACTCGAGTTCGACACTCGATTCGAAAGAGGAAGAGAGCGTTTATTCTAATATAAACCAAATATTTCGTATTCTTTGCAGTGCGATTTGTTTCATTTTTTTCCTATTTGCTCAGATCCAAATTGAAATCGCGCTTTTAACTAGAAATTTACTTTGAGCCGAAGAGATTATGAAATTTCTCGATGTAAAACGATCGCTTTCTCATCGGAAGAGGAATAGCTTCAGCTTTGGGATGCGATTTGCTTCGCGTATCTACAACTTTTCTACGCGGAGATATTGACGAGCGGCGAATCTCAGCCGGGGACTGTGGCCTGTCGACAATGTATGCGGCTCCTTCACTTCAGTCGAGCGCGCCGTCTCTGAACGAGAGGTGTGAAGACCGCGATGCGCGAACGTATTGCAATTTGTCACGCGAGCGTCACCGCAGTCAACGACAAAGACACAGAGCTGCCCTTTGAACATTTCAAAATCATTGAATGTCTATATCTCGGCGAAAAATCGAGATATAAAAACGAAACAAACGGCGTTTCTCTCGGCATCTCGCGTGTGATGCGTTTACGCTCGTCGCGTGTGCTCTTGTCATGATACGTGTTCACATGCACGAACGCGACACGTGTTATATGAGATATATGTGCAAAGGTGTCAGAATACATTTGGCTAAAGAAGCAGGGAATGCTGGAATTTTTCATCAGAATAAAGTTACGCACACATTTTACAGATTCCTATGCATCTGACATTTTTTCCAAGAGCATGCGCGTGATTTTAAGGATCTCGACCGCTATTATATAACAAGTGTCATAGCAACATATGTTGTACGGAGGAAAAGGAATTAGCTGTCCATATAACACAACTGAAATTTCGTTACCGGATTCGGATTTTAGCTGGGGGAACTGAAAACTAGGTACAGGAACAAAGTACCGTCTTCGATCTGTGAATGTCAATCTTCAGTCGAAAGTTATCTTCAAAGTGTTGAATGTGACATTTTCCATGAATTGTCAACCATGAATTCTGATCCACGGTGTACACATCCGACATGTAAAAACTAAAAAGTAACTTAAAAGAAAACAATTGAATCGCTGCTACAGTTATCTATTTGTTACGAACTTTTGCAAGCAAGCATTATATATAAACATTATATGATATAACAAACATTATATGGTGAAATTTATTATTATTTATGTAGGATGACGAATAATATGGTCATCAAATGTATTGATTGTCCAGCATTGGGTTTGAGTTATCACTCGGTTGATAACCGACAATCCAACCGGTCAGACCGGTATTGGCTGGCGCAGCATCGAGCTGACGTTGAGAATCTGGCTGCTAGTAACATCCGTAACATACAGGACCGATCGTAAAAGCATGGCTTCGTGCGGGTATGAGCCTTTACATTCGCGCGGCCGGAATCAGTGAACTCGTGACTGTCGCTCCGGCCTCACAGGGACACGTAGCACCGAAGAAACTCGAGGCTGACCTAGCTCCGTAAAACTGACTCCTTCGGATACGACTGCTGTTTCAGCGGGCACGTTTTTCCATTGCTACGTGACGGCACTGCCGACCTCGAGAGCGCAAAGGACGAACGTGGACGCAGGGGCCAAAGGTTACAGCGCTACAGGTGTGCCGTAATACCATTTCGGTACGAAGCTTTATGACGCACCACCGTCGTCGTCCCGACGGTCTGATTATTACGGATTACTGGCCCGATCTATGCGCCTGTCGAACGAATTCATACGCAGCGCTCCTTCGTTCTCTCTAAAGCGGCTTTCACGGCAACTCTCAGAATCAAGATTTCGCGCTTCGTACGTCGCGTGTCTGTGTCTGACGTATCCATTGAAACGCATTAATTGTCCGCGCGATTGTGCACTGGAACATATTCACGAACAATGTGGATAGGGCGTGGACGACTAATTTAACAAAAAAAAAATTTATTATTTAGCCTGAAGCGATTACGAGAGCTCTTTGTGAAAATAATCTTG